ATACATAGACCAAGAAGCAGTTGTTTAAACAGAACAAGGTTTCAGGAAAGACATACATTAGGGTTGTATACTCTCTCTGTACCTATTCAATCAGTATGCTAAGCAAATAATTCAACAAGCTGGATTTCATGAAGAAGAATGTGGCATCAAGATTGAAGGAAGACTTATAAGGACATGTCTTCTGTACACAACAAACCTTGCTTGCTGAAAGTTAAGACTTGAAATACATGCTATAAAATATTAAAGACACTAGCCTTCAATACAGATTATATTTTGACATCAAGACAACAGAATCCTAGCCACTGGACCTCTCAGCAATATCCTGATAGCTAAAGATTGAAGTTGTTAGCAATTTCATTTTACCTGGATTTCATAGACAGAGCAGCCAAGAAATCCAAAGATGCATTGCATTGGGAAAATCTGCAGTCAGAGACTTCTCCAAAGTACTAAAGAGCAAGTGTTTTAGTTTAAAGACTAAGGTGTGCCTGATCCAAGCCATGGTCTTTTCCATTGCTTCCTATGCATCTGAAAGTTGGACAATGAAAATTGGAATCTGAAAATATGAAAAGTTGAACAATGAAAATGAGAGTCTGAAAATATGGAAGCCTGAAACAGAATCGATGCCTTTGAATTTTGGTGCTGGAGTTCTAAATATCCCAAGTTGTTGTTATTTGGTGCTGTCAAGTCGAGTACAACTCATAGCAAACTAATGAAAAGTCTGCCTGAACCCTGCCCTATCCTGTGCTGGCCTTACCATCTCTGACACACTAGAGACCGTTGCTGAGGTCAGTGTGTCAGTCCATCTCATTGAGGGTCTTCTCCTTCATTTGACCCTCCGTATTTCCAAGCATGATATCCCTTTCTAAGGAATAGCCTTGCCTGGTTACATGTCCAGAGTATGAAACATGAAGCTTCACCACCCTTGCCTCGAAGGAACAGGCACTCTGGCTGCACTTTTTCTAAGACATACCTGTTTGTTCTTTTAGCAGTTCATGGAATATTCAATACTCTGTTCCAGCACCACAACTCAAAGGCATAAATTCTTCTGTCACCCATACTGTCCAGCTCTCGGATGTGTAGCAGGTGGTTGAGAAGACCATGGCCTGAATCAGGAGGCACACTTTAATCTTCAAACTGACATCATTGCTCTTCAGAATTTTGGAGAGGTCCCTGATAGCACATTTTCCCAACGCAGTACATCTCCTGATTTCTTGACCAGTTAGTACCAAGAGTATTGATTGTTGACCCAGGGAAGATGAACTTGTTAACAATTTCAATCCTTTCTTCATCTATCATATGTTGTCTGTTGGTCCTGTGGTGAGGACTTTTGTTTTCCTGAGGTTGAGATGTAATCCATACCAAAATCCTTGATCTTCTGCAGCAAGCATTTCATGTCTTCCACCCTTTCAACAATCAAACTTGTGTCATTTGCATAATGCAGGTTGTTAATGAGTGTTCCTCCAATCCCTGTATCACATTCTTCTTCATAGAGTCTAGCTTCTTCAATGATTTGCTCAGCACCCAATTTTAATAGGTATGGAGAAAGGATACAACCTTGGCACATACTCTTCCTAATTTTAAACCATGAGTGCTCCCTTGCTCTGTTTGGACAACAGCTTCTTGGTCTAAATATAAATTTCACATTAGCGCAATTAACTGTTCTGTGATTCTCATTCTTCTCAATGTTAGCTATATTTTGTTATGATTCAGTCAAATGCCTTTGGACGTCCATAAAACACAGATATTCTTCTGGTAATTTTTTGCTTTCATCCAGGATTCCCCTGACATCAGCAATGCTTTCCCTGGTGCCATTGAATTTCTGGTAGTTCCCTGTCATTGGACTGTTCTAGCCATTTTCTAATGATCTTCAACAACATTTTGGTTTTGTATGATATTCAGTAATTTCCACATTCTTTTGGATCACCTTTCTTGGAAATAGGGACAAATATGGATCTCTTCCAATCAGTTGGCCAGGTAGCTGCCCTCCAAATTTCCTGACATAAACTGGTGAGCACATCTAGGACTGCATCAGTTAGTTGAAATATTTTAATTGGTATTCCATCAATTCCTGGAGCCTTAATTTTTTTTATTTTTTTAATTTTTTTTTTTTGCTAACGCCTTCAGTACAGCTTGAGCTTCATCCTTCATTATCATTGGCTTTTGTTCATATGGTAGTTATTGAAACTTTTCAGTGTCAACTAATTCTTTTTTGGTACAGCAATTCTGTGCATTCCTCTCTTCTTTTGATGCTTTTTGAATTATTCAAGATTGTGTCCATAGCATCTCTTGGTATTGCAACTCAAGGCTTGAATTTGTTTTTCAATTCTTTCAGCTTAAGAAATGCCAAGTGAGCTCTTTCATTTTCATTCTGACTCCAGCTCTCAGCACATTACTATATAATATTTTGCTTTATCTCCTTGAACTGTCCTCTAAAATCTGTTCAGCTCTTTTACTTTAGCATCCCTTCCTTTTATTTTGGCTTCTCGGCCCTCTAATGAAATTTTCACGGTCTTTTCTGACATCCATTTTGGTTTTTTCTTTCTCCTCATTCTTTGTAATAACCTTTCCCTCTCTTCATGGATGGTATCTTTGATGTCCTCCCACCATTCCTCTGGTTTTCAGTTTTGGTGTTCAATGCTTCAAACCTGTTTTTTGAGATGATTCTTAAATTCAACTGGGATAGACTTAAGGTCATATTTTGGTTCCTGCAGACTAGATCTCATTTTCTTCACCTTCAGTTTAAACTGCACTTGAGTAATTCATGTCTCTTCCACAGCCAACACCCGGTCTGATTTTGACTGCAGATATTGTGCTTCTCTGACAATGCTATCCACATATGTAGTCAGTCTGATTCTTGTGCAATCCATCAGGTGAGGTCCATGCTTAAAGTTGCTGCTTGTGTTTATTTTAAAAATATTTGCTATTTGAGCACACAAATTTCAATCATTTGATCTTACCAAGTCCTAACTTCCCACTACCGTTCCTTCCTCGTTGTATCCAACTTTTGCATTCCAATCACCAGTAATTATTAATGCATCTTGATTGCATGCTTGGTCAATTTCTTTTTTTTTAATATTTTTTTTATTGGGAAAAACATATTGGGGGTACAAGGAGGTGAGGGTTGGGGGCA